TAAAAGACGTGTAGATGAGGCGCTTAGGGACATGGTTTAGTGGGCATGGTGGTGTTGGGTTGACGGTTGGACTCGATGATCTTAGAGGTCTTTTCCAACCTTAATGATTCTATCATTCTATGATTGTGGTCTGCCCTGAGCTATGTGCATTTGAGCTCTGTCTTGCTGTGAAACAAAGCAGATTTTAAGAGGATTTAATTTACAGGACTAAAGTAGAACAGGTTTTTTTTTTCCCCTAGGTTTATACCGTTAGCCTAACTCTCACCAGTAACTGCTTTCATTGATCATAAATTTGAGAAGCAGCTTATGCATTTCAGTAGCAGCTTGTCTTACTACAAAAGATTTGAAGCCATCTCTGAGAAACACGTGAGTTGCTGGCTGGCCTTTTCTTAGGGGACAGAAGTTTCCCGCCCTATAGCTTCGTAACTGGGTTCAATACAAGGAAAGTAGCACATAGCCTGTGTTATCTTCTAGTGGTCCTTACTGGCCTTGAGTCTACTCATCATAATAACCAAACCGTCCAGACTTACAGGGCTTTAAACAGAGGGCTGTGACTGCAGAAGAAAAATGGGTCTCTGCCTCAAAGAAAAGGCGGCGTTCCCCAGGACCCTCAGGCTGGCCTGGGCGTGTGGTCCAACATCAGAACAGCTCTTGGAAAACTGATCGTTGCAGCAGAGGGACGGAGCGTGCTGAAGGACATTGTTGCTTTACCCTGTTTCGTGGCCGAACAGGGCTTCAGCGTGCAGAGCCCTTAGCAGCTCAGCGATGTTCCTGGGTTTGGTTCGAGTCTGTAAAGAACAGAAGATGAGCAAGAACAAAAAGCAGAAAGCCGAGCCTAGGAAAAACTTGCCGCTCGCGTGGGGTCCGGTGAAGACGAACAGCGACAGCGGCGTCCCGCCGCCAGGGCCGGCCCCGCCGCGCCCCCGGGCTGGCCTGAGCTGCTGGAGATGAACGGGTGTTGGCAATGTTCGTGTAGCTCTGGGGGCGGCAGCGTCTGAGCGCTGCGCGGTGCCTTTATTGTCGCTTTTTAAACATCATTTAGCTGCCCCCCCCCCCCCGTTGTACAACTCGGCAATCCGGTGTGTCCAGGACAGCAGCCCGTAGCACAGGACATCGCTGTCCCCAGGCTTTGGCACCAAAGGCTGACAAATGAGCAGGGCTGACTGCAGCAGGAGGGGGTACCCCCTGCCCAGACACGTTGGATGAGGGGAGGTGGACAGGTGTAGAAGCACTCTCTCTGCCTCTCCTACTGCAGGTGTGCTTCATCGGCCGAAGCAATGTGGGGAAATCATCTTTGATCCGGGCCTTGTTTTCACTGTCTCCAGAAGTGGAGGTCAGAGTGTCAAAAACTCCGGTAAGTGACATTTTTCACTTCCCTGCCTGTTGGTAGAAGCTGGTGCCAACCCAGAGGATAGGGCCGAGAAGGGAGGGAGGAGACAAGCTCCTGGGTAACTTGAAGCGGCAGGAGAACGTGCCAGCCATGGTGGCTGCCAGCTCACGGCTGGCGCAGGCCTTGCTCTGGCAAAGGAGAAGGTGGAAAGAGCCCAGCTTAGCTCTTCAGCCAGGGCTGGCACATGTGCCAGACCGAAGCCTTGTACAAGCTGAGCAGTCGTGCCGTAAAGCCCTTTGGGAACAACTAAGCAGAGAGACCCGTGAAGGTATTTTCAGTCTGTTTTAAGGATAGAGCCACACAGGACTGCTACAAGGGTAGGGCAGCTTAAAGCAACAGTAGCGTTTTTGCAGCCTTCTCGGGGGGGGGGGGGGGCGGGGATGGGACAGGGGAGTTTTGTGGGGGATTTCTTAATCCCTTCCAT